TCGAGCGTTTACTTTTAATAAGAGATTCATCCCTTGAGCCATTTAAAATACTTTCAGAGGTATGACATTGCTGGGAAAAAATCAACATGCTGGGAATATTTTTTATTGCTTAGGGGGTCACCGAAAAGTTCCGTACGTTCAAAACGACCAGTATAAAAGACGGAAACGCAGAGCACGGGTGTAGTGTTCGGGTTAGTGTGGTGTTCCGTTGTATTGATATTTGTGTGTGTGCCGTATATGTGCTCAATGTATGTTCACCTAATGCTTGTAATAAGTGTAATGTGTGTGTATAGTAGAGGATCCCCAAGCGCAGGAGAGCGGCTCTGAAGCGCAGTAGTGGCCTGAAAAAAATAAATTATTTTTTGTAGAACATGAATTGGGCGGTACTTAGCGCCACCTAGCCTAGTTGCTTGCAATTACTCTGCTTGACCTCGCCATCTGGTGGCTAGCGATTTAACCTTTCACGCTACGCGATAAACAGCGGCTTCGAGTTTGTTGTTTCGAGAGCGGCTTTTGGTTTCGCGGATTGAGTTTTGCCCTTCTCTGTGATGTGCGGTTGACGAAGGAATTGTGACTCGAGGAACACCAAAGGTAAGACTCAAAGTGCGCGAAGTAACTGGGTATCGGTTGTCTCCGTTTAACATCGCAGTGCTGTCGACGGGAAGACTGAGTAACTGCTTTCGAAACGCAAGTTTCTGTACCTGTGGGGGGAATCTGGCTTCGGAAATAAACACAGTTTGCGGAAAGCTCGTGTGACGCTTTTATATGCTGCTGCTCTCGTCCCGTACAAGAGACGTAGCGTCCTGGTTAAGCCTTATTGGGCTCGATTTGCTCGATTCGGGGCCGCCATATTGAGATGCAAGCGACGGAGGAACGTTGCTCCCCTGCTTCGGGGACGAACGTTTCTCCCTTTCTAAAGGAACATAGGTTACAAGACCGTTCCTCCCCTAAGGGAGGACTATCCATACCCTTTTTTCTAAGAGTGTAGGACTAGTGCAGTTTTTTCTGCCGGCTGCTCTCCTTCGCATTGCCTTGCCTCGGCGTTGACAACTTAATTCCGTTTTTTTAGATTTAATTATTTTTGTCTTTTTCAGTGTATTTTGTATGTATATGCACTACGTTGCGTTAACGTCTTCTGCTTTGTCTGTGCCTCTGCCATCTTTGTATTTCTTTCTGCGTGCTCTATTTTTTATATTTAATGTTTCTGTGCATATTTCGTCATTGTCGATGCAGGTGTCAACAAACATTAATACCCCTGTTACACGGGCACACTTAACCGCGGTTAACTCAGCTTTAACTGCGGTTACGTGGCAGCACAGATGCCGCACTATACGCTCGGACAGCTATTTCAAAAGAAGTGAAGAGAGCGCGTGCACTGCTTTGATGTGTGCTCAAGATGCTCAAGCGCTCGTTCGCCCATAACTCTGACTGCATCGCCGCAGAATGTTGTCGGCAAGTATTGTGCGCTAATTGTGGTTTAGCGTAACTGCAGTTAAGTGTGCCCGTGTAACAAGGGTATAAGCTGCCGCTTACGCCGCAACCGAAGTGACTTCTACTCTGTTTTACGAGAGTCTATCGTACTACAAAGTCATATATTGGACTCGAATGAAATCTCGAAAGGGCTGCTTCGACTGCCAGTGCACATGTCATCAGTGTAGGCAGTGTAACGACGTAGCAATCGCGACGCGAGAGCATACTGCCCCTAGATCTGGCCGGCCGCGCTCGCTCTACAGAAATGTGAGCGTGCGACTCTCGAGCCCCATTAGCTTACTAAAGCTGCAAGACGCTACTTTGTTGTCGCGAATCCTTTGCCCTTCGAACGGTCGCGAAGCCGTTGCGCCCGGAGTACCCTACGCAGCATCTTTCAGAAACCATTCGCGCACCATCGCAACCTTGTCAACCTTGTGTCTGCGAGCGTCGGCGATTCATCGAGTGTTCAAAGTCGGACTATGTGCTGCCCAGGGTGTCTTTTATGTGTAACGTTTTCGTAAAAACATTTTGAAGTTTAAAAGCGCAAATCAAACAGTGTACAAATAATTTCGAGTTAAGTAATAAAATATATATCTTTATTTATTTGTGTACGTCGTGCGAAAAAATTGTCGCGCTTAGTTCTGCATTCTAAATTTTAATGTGGGTTATACGACGTAAAACATACTGTCTTCAAACTTGCCCCGTTTAGAATCACTTTTGGGCTGGACAGCTTCTTCAGAAGTTCGAAAGCTGACCTTCAATCAGCTGTCCTGTTCAATCGGCATTGACAGCAGGGTAGACGCTATGCGCGTTTAAGGCCAATCGTGTCTCCGGTTAGGGTCACGTGACTACAGTCTCGAAGCTGGTGATAAGGCAGAGCACGGAACCTGTCTAAGGCCCAAGGTCACGCATAACATCCACTGCACTATCCACCTTGGGTAGAAGTGACAGATCCTTTCGTTGTGTTCATTGCTCCTTTCCACCCTTTCTCTCTTTTTTCTCGCTCTCTTCTTAGGCTGAAGGCGTGATAGACGGTGCGTACTCGCCGGACCAATGAACTGTACACTTTTTATCGCTTGAATCCGCCCTCTCTGCGCGGGTAACGAAGAAGTGTGATCATGTGGTCTAACGGATGACGCATTAGCCGTTGACAAACCCGGAATGCTTGCGAAGACCGGACCTAGTTTCGCGTGTCGTGCGGCCTGCGGGGCTGCTGTGGATTTCGCTTCTATGGTAAAAGTTATCCCCGATCGAAAAGTCCTACCCGTATGTCGGCGACAAGCGATTTCTTCAAAGAAGCCCAAGACATTCTTGTGATGCGTTCAGTGTTCGGTTCGGCAAATGGCAGCGTGTGCTACATCGTGTTGAATCTTCACGAATCACTTCCTTCTAGTTTTTGTGTTTAGTGGTTGTTCTGCAGTGCCCCTGTCGACAAATACCTCGGATTACATCTTTCAAGTCCGGTATTTTCAACGTAAGTGCGCTGCAACCTACTTGGTGATCATTGTCCGTTCTTGTACGGGTACTCTTCTGGATAATCTCTAGAATTAGGCAGTGCCTATCTCATGGCAGCCGAGAGAAGAATTTTTCCGCAATCTCACCGACAGTCGCCTGCCATTTTCTGTCTGAAATAATGTCACAACTGCAGTTAGAATACTGACTTTCTTATTCTCCCTGCGTTTCGCAAAAACACGTTTCGTGGCCACCTTTTCGTGAGTACACGTTTCGTCGACCTTCACGTTTCATCGACATTCTTTACGCGAATTGCACGCTGCAAATGGTATTTCAACGCGCTTGTATTCCTGAGGCGCGTGCTCACCGAACCAGCCCACCCTTTCACGCCGCTTCATGCTAAGTCTGCAGCGGTTCATTGCAAAAGAAGAAAGAAAGCGATTTTGAGTTTTTTTTTAATGAAATATCGCGTGTTGGTGAAACGATCTGTCTATGAAATGTCGTTCGATGAACTGATTGCACCGCCAATGAGGTACGACTACCGGTAGATTTCGGGGAAAAAATTCTGCCAGCTGCCGGGAGACTGGACACTACCCAAGAATTACCGCGTTGTTTGCTTTGCAATCTTCTCAGTTGTATCACAGCTGAGTAGTACCTCTTCACATATTACGAATTGCTGAGTTTGTACTTGCCTACAGAATAAGCTGTCTGTAATAAACTTTGAGGTGATTTCAAAACAATCCCTTTTGTCTGTGTGCTTTCCTTTTTGGAAAAACTTGGCGAGTGCAACGATGGCCAAAAAAAACAGCATGACGGCCAACATTGGTTCGGGTCGCGCTTCCAGTGTTGTCCAATATTACGCCGGTTTTTGCCAATGTAGGAACACCATTGGCTGGAACCATGGTTTAGCAATGGCGCAAAATTGGAACCAATGATGGGGCCGACATTGGCAGAACGGTGGCCCAACATTGGCACCGGTGACTGGGCCAACGTTAGATAGGGTAGCGCTTCCAATATCGTCCAATAATGAGGCCGGTCTTTGCCACTGTTAGGCCAATGTCGGACCAACATTGGTGTGCTGCCTGGGTTTGTCTCCGATGCCCTGCTGTAGGGATCAAAAACATTAAACTTCGACCTAAAGGGATCAATGCAGAGGGACTAAAAGAAAATGGAGGGTCTAAACTGGGGTTTCGCCATTTTGGGGAGATCACTCTCTCTGACATCGCTTTAGCCCCCAAAAGGACGAAGTACTACTCCTTTTTACAGCGGACCTGTTAAGGGCTAGGTTCCCCAAGATTGTGTCCGGTATGTTGACACAAACCTATTTGGACAGCTACCGCCATCTATAAGCGATGGCGGCAAGCACACAACCAGTCTGGTTTCCGCCGTCGCTCGTAGATGGCGGCAACCTTTCCAGCTATAATAGAAGAATTGATGGTTGGACGCGTTGGTGAAAATTCATCTTAGGAAACAGCGCAAAAAACAGACGACGACGAAGAAGAAGCACGCAGTGTATCAAGTACAGTTCTGCTGGTCTTCCTTCTTCGCGAGAGTGGAAAGGCTGAACGATTTTTTTCACTGACCTTCTCTCCCACTTCAAAAGTGACGACACCGGATACAGTCTGGCGCCCACTCGCCCGGCCGTTTGGAGCTGGGGCGGAAAATGCACCGGAAAGTTGCCAATGCTTGCCGGAGAACCACCATCTGAACGATGCACGCCGGCCGGAAGCTGACCACGTGAACACCTTGCCGGTTTTTCGGCAAAATAAGTTGCCGACGATTAAGGCAGTGATGCAATAAAGACCTGGTCAGGTTTGGGCTCTGCACAGCAATTACTACAACAATAGCATTCTCCATACACAAGTGGTCACAATATGACAACTAGTCATCGTCATATCTTTACTTGGATGAGCTCTATTAGTAGTAGCTTCTGTTAGAAAAGCATTAAGAACTCGGAATATTACGAAAACTATGTTTTGGTTGACCAGCAGGGACGGCAGCACAAACAACGTCTTTGTCCCCCATGCATAAGCTACCACAGCGTTCTTGCCGAGAAGGCCAATGCACAATTGCCAAAATGATGGCTCATGCAAGTTTATTGTGATTTCGACAAGGTTGAAATGTCCCATGATAAAAGGGTGTTGCAAATGAGGTGCAAAATGGTGATCTGACATGGTTCCCAGGAAATCTCAGGCCGCCTCTGCCTCGTACACCTGGATGATGTCCATCATGATGTCCGAGAGCTTCTCCTTGGACAGGTTTTGGCAGAAAGTCTGCAAGGGAAAGGCTCAGCTCAGAGACTCTACAAGTGCACTTGCTGAGCTCAAGGCAGCAAATGAGGTGGAAGTGTCAACCCCGTGTCGGATGATAGTGATTACAAATGAATACAAAACAACAATGGAGAAGAAAAAAAACAGTAATGGCAATATGCTCAGTTCTGTGCTCCAAAGATTTTGACAGAACTTTGTTACTGCCATTATGATGGCCATATTAGAGCTTTTAAGGTGAAAATGAATAAAATTTACAAAAAAGTGAAATAATATATTTCTAGCTGGCTGGCTTGACAGGGTAAGACAATCTACAATTTGGCCAAAATAACCAAGTCTGATCGACTTTGCTCAAACGCAACAATTCTTATAACAAATCAAATAATACTCATTGCTGAGCCATTTCGTATTCAAATCGATTTATGAATCTATGAATCGTGCATTCAATTATTACCTACGCTTGCTTAGCTTAGACCAATGCCTGGTCTAAGTTCAATAAACTACAATGCCTATCACAAGTAAATCAAATATTATACATAACTTATCGACCTTCTGGAAGACAAATCCCCAATTCATACAATCAAGCCATGCTTGCCACTATATCTCAAAGCCCAGGCCACAAAAAAGGCTTAAAAAAAGGCTCCAGCAAAGTCTCAGGCTCGCAACCGACTTGCTAAGCTCCTTGAGGCTTATTAATCAATCACTTCCCACCAACCTCGTACCAGGCGAGGTAGCTGTGCACTCCCGTGAGTATGACCAATCGATCGACCGACCGACCACTCACCTCGTACCAAGTGATGGCACTGTGCCCCCCGTTAGTACGACCAATCGATCGATCGACCGCTTAGGTGAGGTAGACGTGCACTCACGTGAGTATGACTGACTGATCGGTCGAATGATCGGAGCTCATCATTTGACCACTCACCAAGTGAAGTCGCTGTGCACTCACGTGAGTACAGCCAATCAATCAACTGATCACTTATCTCGTACCATCTGAGGTCGCAGTGCTTTCACCTGAGTAACGGCAATTGAACGACCGACCGCTAATTTCGTACCAGGTGAGGTAGCTGTGCACTCCCGTGAGCAGGGCTAGGGATGCCGCGAACCACCCTAGGTTCTAATTTGAAAGGTTTCGATATTTTCTAACCGAACTGATGTTCGAATTCAAAAGGTTTCAATATTTTCTAACCGAACTGACGCTCGAATTCAAAAGGTTTTGATATTTTCGACCGTACGGAGGTTCGAATTAGAAAATTCAGAACTTTCCAAAATAGTGGGGTTTCGAATTCGAAAAGTTTGAAGCTTTCACGGTTTCTAAAAGTTTGGGTTCGATTATTTCGAATTTTTTGTTTACTTGAGCTTCGATAAATTCAAAGATTTCGAACTTCCCTAATTTGAAATTCGAGAGACTCGAATGTTTAGAATATCTCTGGATCTAAAATTCGAACGTTTCGAATTCTTAAAGACATAAAGTTAGATAAATTCAAAGATTTCAAATTTCTTTCTACATAAAGTTCGAAAAGTTCGAAGGTTTCGATTCTCATTTAAGGCTAAATTCGAAAAAAAAAAAAAAAAAAAACTTCGAAGGTTTCCAATTTTTTTTAAGTCCAAGTGCACAAAGTTCGAAGTCCAGTTTTCATGTTCCACCACAGTTTCAGTTTCAAATAACGTTTCCACGCCTCACTGGTTTTCATGAAATCAGGTTTAGAAAAGTTTGGGTGTGATATTTAGACTGCGCGAAGTTGGTCAGGCAATTAAATGAGACGACAAGTGTCCCGGATGTGGTGGAATATTTGCCAGTGCAGAGTGACGTGTGACAATAGATAAGTAATTGTGACCACCAGCCCGGGGAGGTCATTAACGTGCATCATGATGTAGTGATCCTACGAACGCACTGTTTAACGATACTCATCCAGTTCGAAATGGCCAGGGGCAGGCAGGTGGTTGAGGCTGAGAAAAACCTTGAAGTGTTCTGACAAACTGCCCCCCTACCCCCTTGCACGCTGGTAGTAATCCGATCGAACGCTGCCCGAGTGACGCTGGCATATAGTAAGTTTAGTTTGTACATGATGCAAAATCCTGAGACTGGGAAGGAAATTTGAAAGAAAAAGTGTAAGAAGGCAGAAAGAAGGGGACAGGACAATGCCTCAAACTCGGCTCTGGGAATGAAATTTGAAAGAAAAAGTGTAAGAAGACAGAAAAAAAGGGGACAGGAGAACGTCTCAAACTCAGCCCCAGGACAACATCTCAAACTCAACTCAGCTCAGGACAACGTCTCAAACTCAACTCAGCCGAGTTTGAGATGTTCTCCCGTCCCCTTTTTTCTTTCTTCTTACACTATTTCTTGCGAATTTCATTCCCAGTCTCAGGATTTTGCGTCATGATCAACATACACCAGCTCGCCTGCACCTTGACAATTTTTTTGTTTGTAATTGCTTTGGAGGTTTATTTTCTGGGGAGGAAGAAACGCCGAGCAAAAAGAAGCTGACGCAACTTGAGGTCGAGGAGAGCTGCACCATACCAGTGGCGTCGGAAAAGGAAAAACGGGGGGAAGGGGGGCTCCAGTCTCTCCCCCTCCCCCCCCCCCCCTCCCAGATATTTAGGACCGTTAAAGAAAACAATACGGGGAAAGAGGGCATGGTCGAGCTTATTTTAATCTGAAATTATTATGCATATGTATAGCTACTGTCGCTCTTCACTGCATAAAAGGTAGCGTAGATGGTCATTGTTAGACACTCGTTATCACAAGGCACTACTCGTCACATGCTCGGTGGCTCGGAAGTTCAAAGCTATGTCTTTTCGACCTAAATGACTGTGCCATTGGTAAAAAATAATAAATAAATAAACGTAACAATAAATACAAAAATAAAAAGCTGGAAAAAAAAATAACTATCACAAACCCGCCGGAAGTGTTGTATTCTTGCATATTCAGAGGCCCAGAACTATGAAACAAGTTTCTTCTACCAAAATATGTACAGGACAAAAGGAACACGTCCCAAAAACGTAAAACGAGAAAAACAATTTTTTTTTTTTGTTGTGCTGAATTTGAACAATATTAGAAATCTTCCCCCATGAGTTAATTTATTCCTCAACGTGAAAAAAAAAAAAACAATACATTATTTTGTATTCTGCAGATGGTAATGATATGTACTGTCTCAATTTAAATGCGATACCTCAAACAATGTAGGCGAAAAAAATTACCACGTTTAGGGCATAATTGCCCGTAGGTACATGATTGGATATTTCATCGAAACCCGTCTTGAACAACAATAATCATCATATCTTAAGACGAGACTTACCTAGGCTATTCATAGATCATTCTTAAAAAGTTTAACATCTCTACCATAAATATCTTCGGCTATAGCGCGCTTCAAATATGGCACAAACGACAATTGTCAAAAATCCATCGTCCTACCTCGCTCCTTCGGGAATCTATTTCTTTAAAACCAAGCATGCCAGACGATTGAAATGAATGGCATTGTCTTTCGCAAGGAATGCAACACCGCATGTAAAATTGCAAAAAAAAAAATTATGAATGTACCTCACTGCTTGACTCCAAATGAAACCACCCGCCGGTCTTTCGACGAACTTTTGACTGAAAAGTCAAAAGTTCGTCGAACTTTTGACTTTTCAGGAATCGAAAGTTCGACAATTTTTTAATTATTTAGATTAATAAGTTTGAAAGTTAAAAAATATTGAATTTCTTAGTGTAGGAAGTTCTAAAGTTCGAAAAGCTTCGAACTTTGTAGTACAAGAAGTTTGAAAGTTCGAAAATCATCGTATTTTTTAGTCTTTCAAGTTCGAAAGTTCGACAAGCATTGAATTTTGGAGCGTAATAAGTTTGAAATTTCGAAAAGTGTCGAACCTCTTAGTTTAATAAGTTCGAAAATTCGACTTCCGTCGAAGTTCTCGATATGGAAAGTTAGAAAATTCTAAATCTTTCAAACCTTTCGAACCGCTTGATTCGATCATTGAAACTTCAGTTCGAAAAAGTTTGCGGCATCCCTAAGTAGGACCAATCAATCAAGTGACCGCTCACCTAGTACCAGGTGAGTTAGCTGCATACTCACGCGAGTGTGACTGACTGATCAGTCGAACGAACGTTGCTCGTCATCTGACCACTCACCTTGTAACAAGTGAAATGTCTGTGCACTCATGGGAGTACGACCAATCAATCAACCGATCACTCATCTCGTACCAAGTAAGGTCGCTGTGCCCTCACGTGAGTACGACCAATCGATGGACCGGCCGCTCACCTCGTACCAGGACTCGTGTGAGTACGACTGACTTACCAGTTGAACAAACGGCGCTCAACATCTGACCACTCACCTTGCACCAAGTGAAGTCACTGTGCAATCACGCAAGTACTTCAACGAATCGATCGACCGATCACTCACCTCGTACCAGGTGAGGTCGCTCTCCTCGGCATGGGGCAGGCGCACGTCATAGGCCAGCAGGGCCACCTGGAGCACGGCCACGGCCATCTCCTGGGGCGGGTGGCGCAGGCAGCCCGGCTGGAGGTACACGTCGCACAGCAGGCTCCAGGCCACCTGGGCCAGGGGCACCCGGCAGCCTCCGGAGGCCCCGTTCACCGACAGGGGCCCCAGCCAGTCGTGCAGGGACCACAGGTAGTGCAGCAGGTACTGCCACCCCAACAGGTGCACAGAGGCATTCGGACATCCACAGACAAACCACTGTCATCCCACTTCCTCTTCACACGAATGGGTATTATACTTACAAAAGATACAAAAATTTTGTTAGAAAAGACACCAATACTTTATTTAGAACAAATAAACTGTCTAACAGAGTGCACTTGGTGGATGATAATGCAATTACTGCAAAGGTGCAAGCCAACTGGACAAGAATGACAAATATAATCCTTACGTAGAAAACCCGAGACTGTGGTAAAAGCAGGGAAACTTGGTCGAAGAAGAAAGACAGGGGAAGAGAACATCTTAATTCATGATCAACATCCACCAGCTCGCCTGTGCACTCACTGTTTTTTCTTTAAAAATAATCCCTGGAGAAGGGGAACAAGGGGGACAGAGGACAAATACAAATCTCCAAACACAGCTAGGTTGGGGATTTGAAGATTCATGTTCGCCCTTTGTCTCCCTTGTTCCCCTTCTCCAAGGATTATTTCTTGTCCAGCTCATTGAACTTTTGCAATAATGGCATCATCATCATAACCTTAAAATGCAGAACATTAACCCTTGCTGGTGTTACACATGTGGCAGCTGATAAAACCTGTTTGCTTTACTGGCGTCTAACTTCTGGTTAGCTGAGGTGGTAGAGCGCTCTACTGGAAATGGAGAGGTCCCTGGTTCGATACCAGCACCAGGTGGGTTTTTTCAGTCGTGCACCAGTCACCCGCCTGATGGATGTTCCCAAAGCTACATTGGATGTTGTTATGTCCAGGTTCCCATAAAAGCAGCGCCGCTCTGTGGAAGTATGGTGGCAAGCTGCGTGCATGCCCACCCTGTTGAACTTGGCCGTACTAAATTTTCCTTCCCCATTTATTCAACTCCTGTGGGGAGAATGGATGAGAGGGAAAGAGGAGGTCACTGAAGTTTGAAGCGCAGGTAAGTCACTCCCTCGCCTTCGCTGGCATTTCCTAACCAGCCCTCGGGCATCTTGATAAACTAGGCTGTAATGCATTTATGCCACCAAGTGGCAAAGCTCATAACCACAACAGCCTCCCCGTAGCCTTGTCCCAGCTGGGAAGAGAGACGTCACGAATGCGTTGAGTCTCCCATGACGCAAAGAGCTCTCCGATGGCTGCTCTCCGAGTAAAAGCTAGAATCAGCCGTTTGGAACAAAAGAAATGTTTAGCCATTCGTTCAAAACACAAACGTGCGATTGCCACTGGCAGATATTGTTGATCATGTTTAGCTCATTTCTGAATGTGGTAAGTGTATTTCAATTTTAATTACACTATTCTTTTAAAACACTAGAATCTATATACTAGTCAGTTAGAGGGGAAGAGGTCAGTGGCTGCTGGAAATAAATATTAGTGTCATTTATAGAAACATTGCAGTCAGGTAGTTGTGTAAGTTGAGCTTGTCGGTATTTGTTAAATAGTGTGTGTGTGTTTTCTGTTTGTTCCTTGTGTTCCTTTTGAGTGCTGTCTGTCATCATGGCAGGCACGTAGCCAAAATTTGTTTTCGGGGGTGCCCAAAATAATTTCTCACACTGAAGGGGATCCCTGCCCAATGCAAACTATCCATCGTGTATTCAGACATATTTAGGTCCAGTTCTTATCACTGAGATGATTCTGTAAGATTTATTATACTGTGTGAGATCATCCAGTATGCCTCATTGTCATTGCCTTTTCTACAAGTGCACGTACTAACTCTCCAAAAGTTGGTTGATTTTTTTCACGAGTTCCCAGTTACCCCATTCTACGTTAAATAAACCGTGCGTTAAATCGTGACAAAAAACAAGCAAAGCCCCAATTCTTCAATCCATACTTTTGACACTTTAGAGAAGAAGCTTGTGAACTTCAGTGTTGATCCTTGTCGTTTGCTGGGCCTCAAGTAGTTGCTGGCTCTGTCTTCATTTGCGGCCCCCTTGTTCCAACATCCTACTTCACGTTGCGGAACATATCGTTGCCACGTGAAGGCACCCCAGCCAAGATTGTCGCACGACTCACTTTGCAAGTTTACTGGTGTAATTTCTTGTTTCGTGCCAGCACCACAGTTAGGCAGAGTTCAATCAGACTGCTGCTAGCTTACAAAAAGCAATTCAGTAGGAAGGATGTTCATCGGACCGCCTCAATGCTGCTTCCTTAACCGTTCAATGCTCGTTTCACGAGCTACGATAAAAACAGGAGCTGCGATAAACTCGTGATGGCGCCATGCGTTACCAGCACTGCTAACTCGGTTGTCTGTTTGTTGGTCTCATTTTTTACAAAAGGGGAGCTTGTCCTTAAAATTTCACCAGCTAATACGCACCACCTCAAACCACATTCGGTGAAAGTTTGAGCTTTTTATGTGCAGGTGCCAATTCTTCCGGATTGTTTTAGAGCACAAGAGCAACTAGAGCCGCCCAATACTGACGTGTGCATGGCAAGGTTGGCAACGCATGCTGCTGCCACGTTGAGGAACGGGGTTCGGACTCTGCACAAACCCTGCTTGGCCAGGATCTTTATTTTATAATTCTGTACTCTCGTGGAAAGTTCCAGATTCATTCTCGGCTGTGATCGAGTGTTCTGGGTCAAAGCACTTCCAATTGTAACTCGTGCATAAAAGCGGCAGTAGCGGGCTGCTTCGAATGAGTCGCTCGCCCTCCCGTCACCAACGGACGATAGGTGGTACAGTCGCGGACGACATGATATCCCCAGGCGAGAGAGCGGCTTACATGGCCTGTCACGCTATTTATCGGAAGAAAGCTTAACCATTATCGAGGCTTCATCGGCTGTTTGATTTTTGCCGCCGATCTTCGGTTGACCAGCTGTAGCTGAGTTAATGCCGATTTCGCCGAAAATAGAGGTGTTCCATAACAAGGGGCAAAATCCAGCATGGTCGAATCCACCAAATCGGCAGGTTGAGAGATCAGTTTTCAGGCGTTTGATAATAAGTTTCCGGGATAAAGAATGATAAGTGGTTTTCATTACTACCATCGGTGTTGGCTCAGCAACTGTTTGCCAACCAAGTGGGGACCAGTAACGACCAAACTCAAACAGCTGCTGAAATGCCGCTCGTTTGCACGATAGCCTCCACGATAACTCTGCTTTCTTCCTTTCAATAGCATTGAAGGTCTTTGGGGTCATGAGCTCGCCTGAACTTTTTTGTGTTGTCCACGGCTGTATGTTTCTACTAAAGTCCGTAGGCACAAATTCACCCCATTAAAGATTTAGTTTCAGTTTTATGTTCCTATACAATTTTCCAAGTGTGGCAACGCGAGGCAGGATGCGGTGCCAGGTTTCCGGAGGCCCTCGGGCACTCACCCTGTGGGGGTGGTCCACGGACACCCTGAACTGGAGCACCCTGAGCATGAGCAGCTCGCAGTGCACAATGGCATCTCGCAGGCACCAGTACTCCTCGGCCAGCGGGAGGGGGTCCGACTTGGGGTAGACGCTCCTGCGACGGAGACGACATCCTGAGCATTGCTCCCGTTCTTCTCGCGTGTGCAACATCTGATGGGGCGCGTCTTCTTCATTTTTCCCAGCATTTTAGATAATGTGTGCCACTCCACCGAGCACTGTTTCTATCAGATAAGCCTTTTGTGGCCTACAAAAATGTTTTTACATTTTTAGACGCTGCTGGCCTTCTACACCTACTGTAGCTTGTTTAAATCTCAAACGCATGTCCACCACGGCTCATATTTCTGAAAATTCATTTGCATGCTTTACTCAATCGCCGGCTACTAAAACCCCTTTCCTCTCCCTTAACCGTATTTGATCAAGTCTAGTTTTTGCCGCTCTATGGCATTACAGAAGGAAGTGGGGGGAAGGACGGGGGCAAAAGAGATAGGATATAAACCAGTCTAGTACAAAAATGCAGTAAAAACACAAGGAGTCAAGGATCAACGAAAAGACACTAAAGATGCGGGGAAGCGGTTCTATTCGGACAACGTTTTGGGAATGAAGGAGTCGACAAGGGCATTGGTGCGGCAGGGATGAATTCCGACTTGGAATGGATGGCCTCCAGTCAGGGGTCCAAATCCATGTCCCTGTGAAAACTTGAACATGATCTCCCCAAGTGCCTGGATGTGTAAAAAAAATAAATATTGCGAGAAATTTAAAATTCTCTTAAGGGGGGACACTGGCTAGAGGTCAAACTTTTGAACTACTCAAGTGATCGGAATGAAATATTCAGGCGAGATTTAGCTTCAGATGTAGGTGTACTGTGAAAACTTTCAGCTCACTAGGACAAATGTACATACCTGCATAAGATGATGTGTCACTTTTCATTAAGAAATCTATGATATGCAAATGAAGCTATTAAGCATCATTTTGACTGCTTGAATATAAAGTGGGGGATATGGGACCTCGGGCCATCTAGTTTAAAGGGGCCCACCAACAATTTTTTGACCGGTTTGAAGTTTGCGCTGAAACGGAGCTCCATGAAAGCAGGAACACCGAGGAAAAAAAATATTACAGAAATTCACAATATTTTGAGAGTTATTAGCAAAATAGATATTCCTGAAAACAACTTTAAATAAGCAAAACATTGCGCTTCACGACGTAAAATGAAACAGTTTTGCGATTGGAGCAATGCGGTTGGCCAATCGGAAGCGAGTTTGGTTGATAGCCCGTCGGCCCGGCTGGCCCGGTCGCCTGGTCGTTGGGCCCGGTCGGCTCGTCGGCCATTAGGCCTAGCCGCAACCATCGTAGTAGGGTGGCTAGAGAGTTGGGTGTGTCGAGCGCGCCGGCTCTCCCATGCATCGCCGCGGCCGGTTTGGAAAATCACCGTCAGGGGCGCTCTACTCAGCGTTCAGCAATCCTTACCGGGATTGATGTATGCGGATGATATTGTACTAATGGCTAACAACAGGACAGAGTTGCAGGAATTAATGAGCATCTGTGGTAGGGAAGGAGAGGAATTAGGTTTAGAATTCAGTAGCGAAAAATCGGCAGTCATGATTTTTGAGGATGAAGTTGAGAGGCTGAAGATACAGAATATTACAGTTGAGAGAGCTAGTAAATACAAGTATCTACGAGTATGGATATGTGATGGTGCAGAATATCTCAGAGACCATGAAAAGTATATAATAGGTAAGGGTAACAGAAATGCAGCTGTAATGAAAAATAGAGCACTTTGGAATTACAACAGGTATGAGGTGGTGAGAGAGATTTGGAAAGGGGTCATGGTGCCTGGCTTGACTTTTGGAAACGCAGTGCTATGCATGAAATCCGAAGTGCATGCGAGACTAGAAATAAAACAGCGCGGAGTAGGTAGACTGGCTTTGGGGGCACATTGCAAAACGCCAAACCAGGGAGTACAAGGAGACATGGGATGGGCATCATTTGAGAGCAGGGAAGCGGTGAGCAAGGTAGAATTTGAGGATAGGTTGAGGCAAATGGACGGGGAGCAATGGGCACGAAAGGTTTTCAGCTATTTATACATGAGGAGTGTAGACACAAAGTGGAGGCAGCGCACTAGGAAATTAAGAGGAAAGTTTTTGGGCTATAGCGAAGATACGGAAGAGCAAGTCTCAGTTAAGAAGAAAGTTAAGGCCACAGAAAGAGATCGGTGGCTAGAGGGAATGCAGACAAAGACGGCTCTGGAAAGCTATAGATTAAACAAAAGAGTTATTGCCAAAGAAAGCATTTATGACAATTCTAGGGGAAGCTCATTGCTGTTTGAGGCAAGAACGGGTGTTCTGCGAACCAGAACATACAGATTGAAGTACCAGGAAATTGATACAGTGTGCACTGCTTGTGGAGAGGAGGACGAGACGGCTGAGCACTTGATACTCTACTGTAAAGAGCTTCACCCTATGCCTACCGAAGACAACATAGATTTAATAAAGTCATTGGGTTTTAGAGACAGCGAAGGGAGAGTGGGTTTCAAGACTGTAGAGATTACCAAGCAAAGATTAAGTGAGTGGTGGCAGAAATCGAGAGAAAACTAGGTATTTTCTTATTCACTGATGGCAAGGGGGTTTCATAGCCTCACTTTCTTTGCACTGTGGAGTGAATATAGATTTCACATTTAAATATTCTAAGCTTAAATGGTAAAACAAAATGGCTAGGTGGCGTAAGCTACCGCCCGATCCAAAGGGCTCAGCCGTATTCATCCATCCATCCATCCATCCATGCACGTGTATGCTAGGCGCGCGCAGCTGGCGCAGGGATTTGCGTGCAGCAAGGCGGATAGCGACAAGTTCACGCCCGCTTTCATCTGTTCTTCAGCGCTCGTGCGAATTTATTTCAACCGTTCCTGCATGCCCGTCCGTCAGGTGACACGTGGAGACTATGGACGTTGCCCCGTCAACCTCCGGCGTAAAGAAAAAGCAGCGAGCGAGCACTGCTTCATTCCAGGATGCACGACAGGCTACAGGTCTGCAAAAGAAAAACACACGTTGGTCGCCGTCCCGAAGGACCGAGGGGAGACACGCATCTTCAGAAAAACTCCGGGGTGTGCGCACTTCACTTCGACGAGCGGTACATCGAGCAATACTTCTCTCAAATACCGCTCGATCCGTTCGAGATATTGCTGTATGAGTGATGTTTTGGGGTTAATAATAATAATAATAATAATAATAATAATAATAATAATAATAATAATAATAAGTTTATTCACAAAGAAAGCATACATACAATTTACTCAGTCTTGTGCGTGAGTACTTATACTCACGCACAAGCACGTAGCGTCCTGCTGAACACGTCTGCGGCCAGTGTTGGGAGGTACTTTAAAGGGGCACTGACACCCCAAAGGTCGTATTTATTTTTATTGTCTAAAACGATGCAAGTTGCAGTCATAGACACGCAAAAAAAACCGCATCGCGAAAAAAAATTTTCCCGCGCGCGCGCGCGCCTTTTTATTTTTGCCGTTTGATTTTCCCGCCTCTAGCCTCCTCGCTTCTTTTGATCGGTGACGTCAAGGATCATGAAATTTAGAAGCTTTGTAGGCGACATCTCCATAACATTTAATTACGGCAATCCTAAAACATGTTTTTTAACGCAATTGCGAACGCACTACGGCCCTTCTTTTTGAAATACCGAAAATCGGGAGTTCGTTGTGGTGCCGTCTCCTGGATTTGTTTCCTCCAGGGATGGGCAAAATACATGCAAATATGTATCGAAATACAAATACAAAATACTTCGTCAAAAATGTATTTAATTACAAATCTAATTACATTTCCAAAAAAGCATTTAAATACAAGATACAAATACAACCAAATGTATTTGGTTTCCTCCAAATATTTTTCCAAATACATTCCTTAAAATTTGCGTCAGCGACTTCAGGGCACCTGAAACGGGTTTCTGCGTATCTCATTTTCATTTTGAATCGCACACTCGGGAGTTAGTGAGCGAGGATCTAGTAACGTAATAGAAATATAATCACAAAAAAATGTAATCAGCTTGGACGCAATAGGTGAAAAAAGTACAGAGCTTCAAGCAGGTTTTTTTGTCGATTACATTTTGATATAGGCCCACAAAGAACCGAGACGACCAAGACGCGCTGCACTAGCTAGAGAATTTTTTATTGTTGCAACTACGAAAATCTGAATGACCCGCGCATTTAGAATGTCCAAGGCAAAAGTATGGATGGAAATCCGGCTGGAAAGGATCACAAGTTGTCACAGGCACTTAATAAGCCAGTCTGCCTGTGAACGTTGATTTGGTCACTATTCTTGCCCTGGACTAGCACCGTAATCACAAAGTCACTAAAGGCTTGTGCCTGATTGAGAGACACTGCATTCGGTTCAGAACGTAGTTTTCTTCCTGCCCTGGACAGTGACAATAAATTTGAGGGATGTATTTTCGCCCACAAAATTGTATTTAATTACAATTGTATTTAAAATACCCACGTTTTAGTATTTAAATACACACGTCAAATACATTACCCAATTTTTAATTAAATACAAATGCAAAATACACAAAGTATTTGAAATACGTATTTCAAATACTTGTACTTGAAATACTGCCCATCCCTGGTTTCCTCCAACGGAAAACAGGCGACACCGCTCAAAACCGGTCCGCCGGAATGCCGCCGCTCGCTCCTTTCCCCCTCGCTTTGGGTCGCCATGGCAACAGCAGGGAGTGGTGAAAGAAAGGGGACTCTCAGGTCTCCGCAATTTTTGACGTCAAGGCACCGGCGCCGATCGCGCGGGAACTTCGAATTCGGCATTTGGAAATTGTTTTTTTTACTTCACGAATACCGAATTCCCAAATTTCAGATTTTGAGGGTAATGTCCCGGCATCGTTTTCAATCGTTTCGGATAATAAAAAAAAATATGATTTTGATGTGTCAGTGCCCCTTTAAGCGCATTGTATTATAGCGAGTTCGTTTCACGTAGCGTAGCAAGCCGGCACAAAGCGCTGGCTGACCTCGCTATCTTCCTTTCAATAAATGCTAATTTTTCTCTCTCTCTCGTTTCACGGCACTCGTGCCCACGCGTGCCCACTCGC